CTCCGCCCCATTCACTGCCCCCTTGTCCCGCTGACCGCCGCCGCAATGGAGCCATCCGAGGAGCGGATAATGATGTTAGACCAAACATTTTTTTTAAATGTTCAACATGTATTCATGAAAATGTTCAAAACAAGTATTTTAAAAAACGTACATCGTGTATTTAAATATATTCAACGTGTATCATAAAAATGTTCCACATGTTGGGGAACGTAGTATTTCAAAAAAAATTCTACGATCACGCAAGATCTATCTTGGTGATGTATAGCAACAAGAGGGGAGAGTGTGTCCACGTACTCTCGTAGTCCGAAAGCGGAAGCGTTTAGTAACGCGGTTGATGTAGTCGAACGTCTTCGCGATTCAACCGATTCTAGCACTGAACGTACGGCACCTCCATGTTCAACACACGTTCAACACGATGACGTCCCTCGAACTCTTGATCTAGTTGAGGACGAGGGAGAGTTCCATCAGCACAACGGTGTGGCGACGATGATGATGAAGTTACCGGCGCAGGGCTTCGCCTAAGCACTACGACGATATGACCGAGGCGGGTAACTGTGAAGGAGGACACCGCACACGGCTAAGAGAATACTTGATGTGCCTTTGGGATGCCCCCTCCCACGTATATAAAGGAGGGGGGAAGAGGAGGCCGACCCAAGGAGGGCGCGCCAAGGGGGGGAGTCCTACTTGGACTCCCGGTCCAAGTAGGATTCCCCCCCACCCTTTCCTATTCCAACTAGGAGAAGGAGGGAAGGAGGAAGAGGGGAGAAGGAAAGAGGGGGGCGCCGCCCCCTCCTGGTCCAATTCGGACAAGCCATGGGGGGCACCCCTTGAGGCCCTTCTCTCCTTCCCCCTAAAGCCCATCAAGGCCCATTACTCCCCCGGGGGTTCCGGTAACCTCCCGGTACTCCAAAAAATACCCGAAACACTTCAGAACCATTCCGGTGTCCGAATATAACCTTCCAATATATCAATTACCTCTCGACCATTTCTAGACTCCTTGTCATGTCTGTGATCTCATCCGGGACTCCGAACAAACTTCGGTCATCAAATCACATAACTCATAATACAAATCGTCATTGAACGTTAAGCGTGCGGACCCTACGGGTTCAAGAACTATGTAGACATGACTGAGACACATCTCCGGTTAACAACCAATAGTGGGACCTAGATGCTCATATTGGATCCTACATATTCTACGAAGATCTTTATCGGTCAAACCGCATAACAACATACGTTGTTCCCTTTGTCGTCGGTATGTTACGTGCCCGAGATTCGATCATCGATATCATCATACCTAGTTCAATCTCGTTACCGGCAAGTCTCTTTACTCATTTTGTAATGGATCATCCTGTAACCAACTCATTATTCACATTGCTTGCAAGGCTTATAATGATGTGCATTATCGAGAGGGCCCAGAGATACCTCTCCAATACTCGGAGTGACAAATCCTAGTTTTGATCTATGCCAACTCAACAAACACCATCGGAGATACCTGTAGAGCATCTTTATAATCATCCAGTTACGTTGTGACATTTGATAGCACACAAGGTGTTCCTCCAGTATTTGGGAGTTGCATAATCTCATAGTCAGAGGAACATGTATAAGTCATGAAATAAGCAATAGAAATAAAACTAAATGATCATTATGCTAAGCTAACGGATGGGTCTTGTCCATCACATCATTCTCTAATGATGTGATCCCGTTCATCAAGTGACAACACATGCCTATGGTTAGAAAACTTAACCATCTTTGATTAAGGAGCTAGTCTAGTAGAGGCATACTAGGGACACTCTGTTTGTCTATGTATTCACACAAGTACTAAGTTGCCGGTTAATACAATTCTAGTATGAATAATAAACATTTATCATGATATAAGGAAATATAAATAACAACTTTATTATTGCCTCTAGGGCATATTTCCTTCACCACGTGTATATTACAAATGTACAATGTGTATTAAAAAATAGACATGTGTTGAAATGAAAATAAAAATAATAAACCCAGAGAAAAACGGTAAAGAAACGCCAAAAACCGAAGAAAAGCCGGTGAAGAAAAAAGGAAAAAGGTAAGAAAAACACCGAGAAAAACTAGAGCTAGAGGCGTTACACTAGTGGGTTGACCCACTCCCTCGCGGCTAGAGGCGAGACCGAGTTACGTCTAGCGACGGACGAGAAATAGGCCTGCCGCTCGCGAAGAGCGATACATAGGGCGTGTTTGGTTGTCATCTACGAATTTGTCTGCATTGCATACATATCCCAATTGGGCTTGGCTAAGGGAAAACAGGCAAAAAATCAAAATCTGCACCTCGTTTGGTTGCCTGCATCGAGGCTGCCTACACCAGTGGATTGGTTTGGCACGCCGTTCGGTGTCCTGCATTGTTTCCACTCATGTAGCTACACATTGTATGGTTGCATACATGTGATATGATTGAGAGTTAACACTTACCGTTAACACGCAAGTTACACTAGAGTGCCTCACGACTGCGGTGGACGGTGACCGTGGCGCCGCGTCCGACATGATGGAGTCGCGGGCGAGCGTTACAGTTAACACAGAGTTGCACTAGAGTGCCTCGCAACTACGATGGGCGGTGACCGTGGCGTCGCGTGCGACATGACGGTGTCACGGGCGAGCGGTCCTATCGGTGCTGCGGTGAACTAGTTGCCAGCGTCGTCGCCGCGAAGAAAGTTCGTGCAGAGGAGTGCTGAGGTAGAGGACGGGGAAGGAGAAATGTAGTGCCTGTTAGACCACATTGACTGTGGTGGACGGTGACCGTGGCACCGCATCCAACACGACGAGCACGGAGTCGTGGGTGAGTGACCCCGTCAACGTCACGATGAACTAGTTGCTAGCGTCGTCACCACGGAGAAAGTCCAGCGAAGGGAGGAATAGAAGGGCGCTGAGGCAGATGCATGACAGAGGAGAAAAAATACAGTGCAAATGCCATGGCAGCGTCAGTGTAGTAGGACAAGGAATAGGAGGCCGAAAGGAACGGCGTCGGGGACGGCACCGGTGTAGTAGGACGCCGTGAGGAGGCCGAGAGGAACAATGCCAACGATGGCGTCAGTGTAGTACGATGTGGGCGAGAAGGCCGAGAGGAAAAACATTGAAGATGGCGTTAGTGTAGTACGATGCGGGTGAAGAGGCCGAGAGGAAGATCACGCCGTCGGTGGTGACAGTGTAGCAAGACACTAGAGAGGAGGTCGAGAGGAACAACGCCGTCGATGGTGCTAGTGTAATAGGACGCGGGAGAGGAGGCCGAGAGCGGGATTAGAAGGGATGAAGAAGATTAAGGAGTGTCATTGAAATATATCACACGCATATGCATATGTATAGTTCGTGAGGAAGATATAGATCTACTCGTCTGAGATTGTCGAAACAGAAAGAAAACATGCAGCATGAAAGTCGTGTGTAACTGTGAGATGAAGCTACTGGTGAACGGAAATTTCAAACGGTCAACTGTGCGCGATGAATGTAACAAAATTTGTCCAAAATAGCTTCAAACATGAACACAAAATTAAACATTTACAATGAATGAACCACGAACCAGTCATCTGAATGGAACCACAACATCGTAGTGTTTTTTTGTTCATGTAAACCTTACATCGAATCGAAGCACTGTTGTGTAGATTAGAATGGACTAATAAAAGTAGACGAGATTAGGAGTTAAACGAACAGACATGTGCATCTTCAAGTACACCCATACACGAGACAAAACAAGATTTCATCACTAGACCAACCCACCTGCGCTCGACTGCATCCCTCGAGCCTAGTTCGCTGAAAACTGCCGATTTAGCGTTCCGACCAAGATAGACCCGGAGGTGGATTAAGGTTCGTGCTATGCAGACCCAACAATGAATGCATGCAACTAAACATACCAAATTCTTTTCACACATATGTCTTTTCTTTTGATGGAAAGACCCTTATGGCTAGCTTTATTAAACTCAAATAATGCACATCATCTACTCAAAATTTAGCGATAGTACTGGAGGTGCATCGATCCATAAGAAAAAGGGGTGTTTGCATGCCCCCACTCTGCTAGCTCATGAGCAACTACATTTGATTCTTTATTACGGTGCTCAATAGTAACCTCCCTAAACTTTTATAATAACTCTATGCAATTATCTAAAATTGTAGCCACCACCATAGAATGTACCTCATTCAGATGTATAGCATCGACCATGATAGAATTGTTCATCCTTACCAAAACATTATTGCACCCCATGTTTTGAATTAACTTTAGCCTTTTAAATAATGCCGCCGCTTCCGCAAAGACAACATCTGCCACATGCTCAAGACGAAGTGCATGCAGCCTATCAAACCCGCCCATAATGTTTTAGGTGACTTGATTTTCCTGGCTCGCAGGAACGCGGTCCGGCCCGGCCCAGCCCTGTGGACGAGGACGTTTGCTTTGGTATGTCGACAGCGACAGCTTGCTTCTAGATGTCCTCAGAAGGGCAAAAGAAAATCTGGCTTCTTGATGGAAATTAGGGCCGACGCACACACCGCCAGAATTCGGTGTGCTCTCCGCCGTACTAGGAGCAAGAAGTCGGCCGAACCCGCGGGCGCGCGTCCCTATCGTGTCGCGTTGCCCCACCCGCGCGCCAGCCATTCAGTGGGCACCGCCGCGCCCAAACCCAAAACAGCCAGGATATTATTATATTAATCCCGAATCGACGTGGAGATCCCGGCCCTTGCCTTGCGCGAGGCGAACAGGCATGGCTATGGTAGGCACCCACGGCCACATGACGCCGACGTGCACCTCGCTCGCTCCCTCTGTCGACCCACGGGGCCACGCCCCAGCCAGATCACGATGATGCCGCCGCTGACTCACAGCCCCGACCTCCCACAAAAACAAATATCAATCAGCGCGAAGCAGTCCGCTGCGTTATAAAAACAAACCCGGCCGGAAGCCAACCGCATTTCCGTCTCACCTGCCTACTTTTCCTCTGCTCCCCCAACCCATCCTCCGTTCTCTCTTCTCAGATTTGTGGGTTCGTGTCATGATTTCACCGCCCCCGGTGATGCAATCCTCCGCGGCGAGGCCCGCGCTGGCCGGGTTCCGCCAGGCCGCCGCCTGCTCCAGCTCCCGCCGGTCGGTCCGGTGCGCGGTGGCCGTCGCGTCGGCGGCGCCGGCCGGGAGGTGCACGCTGTACGAGGTGCTCGGGCTGCGGGCCGGCGCCACGGGCGGCGAGATCAAGGCCGCGTACCGGCGACTGGCTCGGGAGCGGCACCCGGACGTGGCCGGCGCGGCCGGCGACGACTTCATCCGCCTGCACGACGCCTACGCCACGCTCTCCGACCCGGACGCCCGCGCGCGCTACGACCGCGACGTCGTCGTGCAGGCCTACGCGCAGCCGCCCGCTTCCAGGCCGAACGGCGTCTGGGGCCGGCCTCGCCGCACGTGGGAGACAGACCAGTGCTGGTAGGTCCGACCTCCATCGATCCAGAGCTTCGGCCTTGTGAATAGCCACCACTATAGCAGCGCTCTTCCCCACGCGCGGCCATGGCCGCTCACCATAGATTTTTTGTTACGGTGACCCAACCATGCGTCTGTACATGTAAATCCCCACCTCTTCTTGATCTTCTGAATGTTCAGTCATCTTCAGAATCAAAAATTAACCTGTGTTAATATGCAATAGCAGCATCAATCTGATACTGTACATTTCGGGTCGACATTGTTTTCCGGCGACCGAAGCCGTCTCTGTTTCTTGGCTGGCAAACCAGGATTGACGACGACGTGCTACCGTCGGGTTGTTTATTCGATGCCAGCCAACGATTGCCAATTGGGTGGGTGGCCTCAAATTTCCCTCCCCTGTCAAGGTCAAACGTGATCATCGACAACCGACGCCTCTGTCGGTCCACCTCTTCAATATACCACTAGCAATTGGTCCACCTCTTCAATATACCACTAGCAATTTGGATAAGGATTTTACTGATGCGTTGGCCTCTGTTAAGATCAAAATATGTGTCTAGGGCATATCTAGATGTGCTCTAGTTATTGCACATCTAAATGAGTGAATCAAGCAGAAGGCTGCCTGTAATGGAAGTATCATAGGTAGTATCATGCATGCCAACTAAGCAAGTTTGATAAGGTGGCACAGAATTAAATGAAGAAAGAGAGGCTTGAGTATCATATTAAATGATGTGTTACTTTCATATTAAATGATGTGTTACTTTGTGTCATGCATGTCAATAAATGTAGTTCTCTGTAATACCAACTTATGATACTATGCATTAGGGACGTAGTATCATAGACTAGTATCATATGCATGATATTAGTATATGAGGCTAGTCATAGTGGGAGTAACTTAGGTAGTAACATAGCGCATTTTAAGAAATTTTTGCTTATGTGGCAAGTAGTTAATGAGAGGTGGTAACATAATATGTTAATGTAACATAGCACTTTTCAAGACAAAATGAGTCTACAAGCTATTAAAAGAAACCACCTATGACACTACTACTATATTACTTTGCACTATGAAAGTAGTAATTTAGCCTAGTGTCATATGCATGACACTAGTATAAGTTACTCCTCACTATGGCCAGCCTGATACTCCCCATTACAACCAGCCTAAAAAGGAATTTTTTTTACACGAATCTCAATGTAACATCAATGACATATGACTTAGATGTGCAATATTTATGGCACATCTAGATGTGCTTTAGCAAAACTGTTAAAGTATAATCTGTAACTAAGGGAAATCTCTCTTTGTCCATCGAACGAGCGGTTGCACCCACACGGACGCCTGTGTCCGTCGCAACCGTCGCCTCTCTCCCGTCCGCTTGGAACCGATGCATCTCTTCAGGATCGTCGTGTCTCTCCAGGGGATATATATACTCCCTGTAACCATCATCAAAGGATCAATCAGTCTTTGATTTCAAACACGTTATCATGCACGTAGAACAACCAGTGAAGAGCGAAAGCGAAAAAGAAAAGGAGGGAAAGAGCACTCGCCGCCGGTGAGATGCCAAGCCTCGTCTCCTTCCTCCGCCTGATCCACAAGGATGGTCGTCGCTACGGTCGCCGTTTCCACGGACTAGGTAGACTCCGGCGATTCCGTCGCCAGGCTATCCGTCGCGCCGCTGAACGCGACCACCGTGGCGCTAGGAGAGGCGCTCGTGGTGCTCACCACACCCCGGGACACGGTCGCCGCGCCACAAGACGCGCCCACCACGGTGCTCCCCGCGCCCATGGCCATGCGCACATGGGGCTCAACCCTCGGATGGTGGCCGGCCCGAGCGCCCCGATGATGAACGGGGCCGCCGTTGCGCCTGGATCGCCCTCCGGATCTCCGCCTCCACCTCCTCCACCGGCCGCGTGGCTCCCGCCCGCGATACCAACGCCCCCGATGAGGCTGTTGGCCCGAGCCGTGGCCCTCCTGGCTACGTGTCCGTCCCGATGCGCGCCATTGTGGACGAAGAGGCCACACTTGGCTTTGTGTCAGCGCCCACCAGCGTCATCCGCCTCGGAGTAGGGATGGAAGGTGCCGGTGTCAACTCCCCACCACCACTGGAGGCTACTACGGGCCCGGGTATCCACGTGGAGCAGCGCTTTGGCAGCCTCTTTGGACACGCTGTCGCGGCTCTCGACAGCCTCCCCATTCGCCGCCCAGGCTCATGGGCTCCGGCGAACCTCGGCTTCGCCACCACTTCGCTGCGCCAGGCCTCCACCATCGCCGTCTCCTCTTCGGATGAGGAGGGCTCGGCGGCGACGAGCCGGTGACCACTAGAGACCAATGGGATGCGGCGGCGGCCGCTCCCCCCGCTGGTAGCGCCGTGTCAGAGGAGGGGATCGAGTGGTGGTGCGGGCGTCGGATTATTCGACCCCTATCCGTAACCGCCTTCTCCCCCCTCTGCCTTATGCAGTGCGGCGGCAGTTGGGCCGGCCAAAGGTCGTGCAGGCCCAGGCCCAGGCGCCTGCGGGTCCTCCGGCTGCCTCATGTTGGCCGTGGACTTCATTCTTTTCTCTGTTTTTATTAGTCTAGTACTAATTATTCTACATGGTGTAGTTTTAGACTATATTTAGTACTGTTTTAGTACTACTATTTACATTTAGTCCAGTTCTAGATTTACTCTAGTTTAGAATTTGTGTAATTATTGGTGTGTTTATATTATGTAATAGCTTGATAATATAAATAAAGTACCGAATTTCATTCGGGAAAAATGACATGTTCTATGTGTTTACCACATCTCATATTTATTGAACATGTTTTTGCGATTGAGACCTTCTCTAGCATATCAAACTTGCAACTTTTTGAATATTTCTCCCTCACCTTATTTGGAATCACAAGGTAATGAGTTGTGATCTACTGCACATTTGCAGACTATCCTCTTTTACTATAAGGTCTACGCTTTGTCAATCCCGACAAACGATTACCTTCAATGTGTGTTCCTTATATCTAAATTGTATCATACACAAGGTAATGTCCATGCAGCCTATTACTATGAGATCTAATTGATCTTCAAAGTGTTATATTCACACAATTGAGGTTGAGAATTTTTCAAGTTTACAGTTGAGTATCAAATTTTTGCATTCTTATTACACAACCATGATGGTTTTTAATTTACGCCCGTAAATTAATTATATCTGGTTTCCCATGTAGGCAAAGTGTGAGGCCCCCGATTTAATCGTACACTAATCATACACGCAAACGAGTACGATCAAGATCAGGGACTCACGGGAAGATATCACAACACAACTCTACAAATAAAATAAGTCATACAAGCATCATATCACAAGCCAGGGGCCTCGAAGGCTCGAATACAAGAGCTCGATCATAGACGAGTCAGCGGAAGCAACAATATCTGAGTACAGACATAAGTTAAACAAGTTTGCCTTAAGAAGGCTAGCATAAACTGGGATACAGATCGAAAGAGGCGCAGACCTCCTGCATGGGATCCTCCTAACTACTCCTGGTCGTCGTCAGCGGGCAGCACGTAGTAGTAGGCACCTCCGGTGCAGTAGGAGTCATCGTCGACGGTGGCGTCTGGATCCTGGGCTCCAACATCTGGTTGCGACAACCAGGTAGAAGGGATAGGGGGGAAAAGAGGGAGAAAGCAACCGTGAGTACTCATCCAAAGTACTCGCAAGCAAGGAGCTACACTACATATGCATGGGTAAATGTGTAAAGGGCCATATCGGTGGACTGAACTGCAGAAAGCCAGAATAAGAGGGGGATAGCTAATCCTGTCGAAGACTACGCTTCTGGCCACCTCCATCTTGCAGCATGTAGAAGAGAGTAGACTGAAGTCCTCCAAGTAGCATTCAATATCATAACCCTAACCGATGATCCTCCCCTCGTCACCCTGTGAGAGAGCGTCCACCGGTTGTATCTGGCACTTGGAAGGGTGTGTTTTATTAAGTATCTGGTTCTAGTTGTCATAAGGTCAAGGTACAACTCCAAGTCGTCCTGTTACCGAAGATCACGGCTATTCGAATAGATTAACTTCCCTGCAGGGGTGCACCACATATCCCAACACGCTCGATCCCATTCAGCCGGACACACTTTCCTGGGTCATGCCCGGCCTCGAAAGATCAACACGTCGCAGCCCTACCTAGGCACAACAGAGAGGTCAGCACGCCGGTCTAAATCCTATGGCGCAGGGGTCTGGGCCCATCGCCCATTGCACACCTGCACGTTGCGTACACGGCCGGAAGCAGAACTAGCCCCCTTAATACAAGAGCAGGCTTACGGTCCAATCCGGCGCGCGCCACTCAGTCGCTGATGTCACGAAGGCTTCGGCTGATACCACGACGTCGAGTGCCCATAACTGTTCCCGCGTAGATGGTTAGTGCGTATAGGCCAGTAGCCAGACTCAGATCAAATACCAAGATCTCATTAAACGTGTTAAGTATCCGCGAACACCGACCAGGGCCAGGCCCACCTCTCTCCTAGGCGGTCACAACCTGCCCTGTCGCTTCGCCACAAAGATCCACACAAAGAGCCGTTGGGACAAAGGTCCTTTCAGCCCCCAATCCGTGAATCACTCGCGGGTGCTCCACAAGCCGACCCGTCTTTCGTCACCACATGTATCATGTATAAAGTATATAGTATATACCCGTGATCACCTCCCGAGTGATCACGGCCTGATAATATAGCATGGCAGACGGACAAGAATGTATGGCCACTGATGATAAACTAGCATCCTATACTAAGCATTAGGATTGCAGGTAAAGGTAACAACAATAGTAGCAAGGACAGGCTATGCATCGGAATAGGATTAACGGAAAGCAGTAACATGCTACACTACTCTAATGCAAGCAGTAGAGAAAAGAGTAGGCGATATCTGGTGATCAAAGGGGGGGGGGCTTGCCTGGTTGCTCTGGCAAGAGAGAGTGGTCGTCAACACCGTAGTCGTACTGGGTAGCAGCGGCGTCGGTCTCGGTGTCTAGCGAGAGAAGAGGGGGGGGGGACAATAAATATAA